GAAGTGTGTGTGTGTGTGTGTGTGGGGGGGGGGGTATGAGTGTGTTTATTTGCATTAATAAGAAGATAAAAGTTGTTAGAAGGAATGCACGTTAGCCACCCCTCTGAGATCAGCTCAGTGCGTTAACGTTCCACTGGTTCTCTGTGGGAGCTCAGAGGACGTGTTGAGGATGACTCTCAGCCAGGAGGGACCGGGGACAGTAGCAACACGCCATTTTTCTCCAAACAGAAACAAGCTAGAGAGATGACACTCACACTGTACATGCTCAGTTAGACGCCCCACCTTGCAAAGAAAAAGTTAGCAGATTCGAAAACTGCTCCAGGATTTATTTGAAAAAAAAAAAACGGTTTTTGAGTTATCAAAATATATATATTTTTGCCTAGATTTAGTTTTGTTACACTGTTGTCACTGTTTTTGTGATCCAGCTCAAACTTATATGGTTTAAACAAGTGATAGGTTGACTTATAACTATTATGGCTAACATGTATCAATATCAGCTCATTTAGCTAACACATGAGGTTTTATCATGGCTGACAGGAAGGGGGACAGTTGCAACAACTGTTGCAATGGTCCCCATAAGATAAATCTGTAAAAAAACGGAGCACTTACAGATGATATCAAAGGGGTAATATCATGTAAAATCAAATTTTTTGAGTTTTATATCATGTTGTAATGTTATACTCTCGTAAAAATACATGCCCAAAGCCTTGCTTTGACTCATTCATGCATGTTCCTGCAGCGTTTTTAGGAAGCCATGCTGAGGAACAAAACGACAGGTGGGGACCAGAAACGCCTTTTGGTACCAGAAACGCCCCTGGGACGTGTTTTTAAGCCGAACTTCCTCATGGCAGAGCGCACCCCCTCCCCACACACCCCGCCCATGACTCCTGCAGGCTCTCAGCAGTAACAGAGCAAAAGTGAAAGTGAAACTTAAACTGTCCGCTGCTCTCCACACTACTTCTCACTCAGTGAAGCTCTTTTCAGATTCAAAATACCTTTGAGGAAATGTATTTTCAGATGCCAAGTAAACTGCATCATAGCGCACGGACGAAACAAACCACCCCAGCACGAGTGACCCCCCAACAGTGTGACGCTGACGGGACGGGACAGAAGCAGGAGGACGTTCTTAAAGAGACAGAGGCCAATTTCAAGGAGTTTAGAAGAGGAAGTGAGGAGAAGATAAGTTTATTTTTTATTTAAACATAAAAACAGCATTTTAATAACAGCTAAAGGTGACATAGATACTTTATTAATGTATAGTATTTAAATATATGCCTGAGAAACACATAACATTGACCCTTTAAGATGTTGAAATTAAGTTTACACTTAAAAAGATATTGCGTATTCATGACAATTTTATAGTTTAAAACATCAGTGTTCAAGATGTATTTTCTGCAGTTGTTGTTTTCAACAATGGTTTTAAAATCCCAGTTTCTTTCAATGTAAATTTTGCATAATGTAGGCGTACAGTGACAATCGGCAAAACAAAAGTTAATTTACTCACAAATTGTTCTATTATTCTTGTCTCTAAAAGCCAACTGTATTTAGAACAATTTGAGTCTTTGACTAGTGTTGTAGTACTTGAAACCAGTCTTGGTCTTGAGACCGATCTCAAGACCACTTTTTGATGGTCTTGGTCTTGTCTCGGACTCAACAGCATTTGTATTTTGTCTTGTCTCGGTCTCGGACATTGAGGACTCTGAATTTTTTTCAAGACCAGTCAAGACCACTACTGTGGAAATATCATTAACAGACAGATTATTGTCCAATTTCTTAGTTAACATTCTTGCTTTTATTGGATTTAAAACATACTGATTCAAATCCAAACTCATTGCTATTTGCTGGCTGTCACCCATCCCCACTTTCTTCACAGTTACTCCAGGAAAGTGAACCGTTGTTAGAAGGGTCTTCAAATTTTTAAGTAAAAAATTTGGCTACATTATTCATAAATAATATCATTGTAAAACAACAACAACCAGGAGAAAGCGTACAGAAACTTGTACGTTCAGCAATGCTTCACTTTCAGAGACAGTGGGGCCAACTGTAAACTTTTACCATCACTAACGTTAATCTGCCCACGTGGCAAAACTCTTTCCTCTGCCCTCACACAAAGAATTTGTCAACATTAGCTCTACGTATTAAGTTTGCTACAGTGTGGAAAAAAAGTATTTAGTCAGCCACTAATTGTCATACATGAGACAAAATATATCTAGAAAACCACACTGTCTGATTTTTTTAAGAATTTATTTGCAAATTATGGTGGAAAATAAGTATTTGGTCAACAACAAAAGTTCATCTCAATACTTTGTTGTATATCCTTTGTTGGCAATGACAGAGGTCAAACGTTTTCTGTAAGTCTTCACAAGGTTGGCACACACTGTTGCTGGTATGTTGGCCCATTCCTCCATGCAGATCTCCTCTAGAGCAGTGATGTTTTGGGGCTGTTGGCGGGCAACACCGACTTTCAACTGATGGAAGGAGGTTTGCACCCAAAATCTCACAATACATGGCCCCATTCATTCTTTCATGTACACGGACCAGTCGTCCTGGTCCCTTTGCAGAGAAACAGCCCCAAAGCATGATGTTGCCACCCCCATGCTTCACACTATGGTTTTCTTTAGATGCAACTCAGCATTCACTCTTCTCCAAACATGAGTTGTGTTTCTACCAAACACTTCTACTTTGGTTTCATCTGAACATATGACTTTCTCACAGTCTTCTTCTGGAACATCCAAATGCTCTCTAGCAAACTTCAGATATGTTGCAACCACCCTCAAACAATGTTGCAACAGTCCACGGCCCCGGGGTCAGTTGCCACATCTGACTTTTCATTTTCAAATGCAAATTGTGAAGAATTTACATTCTTTAATCATCTATAAATGTTTTTGACTATTAACAGATCTAAGTTTATTGTGTTAAAATTTGGTTTGTCTAATTCAAACCATCTGAGTAACAGAGTCAAAAGCAAAACGTGTTGCAACTGTCCCTGGTCTCTCCTACTACCACTGAGCTCAGCTGATCAGCTGGAGACCACCTTTATTTAAGCTCAAACCCAAAAGTTTATCAGAGGCACATCCAGTGATCACCATGAGAGTTTACAACCCCTTAACAACCCCCCCTGAACTTCCCTAAAAGGCTTCTGACATTTTTATTTTTTGTAAAGGTGTCAAATTAAAAATAAGAGCTGGAGGAAATCTTCTGACACCCTAGTTTTTAAAATAAAAGCCCCCAGTAGCATCAGGCAGAAACCGCACCCTTTTTGCCCACCAGTAGTTCCAAAGATATTTTGCTAACAGATCAAAATGGCTAAGTTCTTAAAACAGATTGTGTTCAATCAAATGTCATTTGGACCGATCCATCGTCTACAATCAAACCTAATGTTCTATTACATCTGTCATTGTTACCATCAATGTGTTCAAAGTTGCTCAGGTGAAGCAGCCATATTGACTGGGATCGACTCACAAGTTATTGAGTTGTAGACTCAATAACTTACTTTGATTTGGTTTCAGTAAAACCCCTCCTCCTGTGGTTCATGGGATATTTTACTAACACACACACAAAGGCAGAAACCTTGTCACACTTTCTTTGTTGGCGGAAAAAGATGCAAAACGAAGAAGAGCTTTAAAAAAGGTGCTTTCATCACTGTTTCTCCTGTCCCTTCATGCTGAGGTGTGATAACATCTGTGAGTTTCCAATGAAAGCCTGTTAGTCTCAAAGTAAACACAACTATAATTAATTCAGTCATCAGCAAACCTTCAGTGTGTTTCCAGAAACTTCACTGTTTCATATGATTTAAGCTCCGACGTCACAATGATATAAATCATTCATTCAAATGTTCTTTTAATGTGATCAGTGCCACATATTGGTTTTTACGCTTGTGTGTGTGTGTGTGTGTGTGTGTGTGTGTGTGTGTGTGTGTGTGTGTGTGTGTGTGTGTGTGTG